CTTGGGTTTGCTTGGTCTGAAAAGGTGAGATTTTGGCTGGGTGGCTGGGAAAATGCATAAAATAACAGGGTCTTCTTATTGAAAGGGTTTTTTTGGAGATGGAAAAGCAGTAAATTGCACTTTAACTTAGTTAGTATAGCAATAAGAAAGGTTTTTTTGTGGGGAATAATAAAATAAATTGTGGGTAGATCCCCGAAAATTAAGGAAGTCAGTTGCTTATTCAGTTAATATTTTAAAAATACATTGAATTTACTATCTGTAATATTATTTATTGTACCTTATATTATTTACTATTAACATGTAAATTTGAATAATAAAATATTCCAGTTGTAGACCATAACTTTCCCAAGTAGTAACGTTTCTGCAACCTCAAATACTTAATGAAGGCTAACTAAATCATAAATAGTAAGAAAATAAATTGGTTTTCCGTCCGTTTTTCCTTTATAAAATTATTTCCCTTACCTTTCATATTTTACTACAATTTCCGTGACCTCCTTTCCCCGTAAATGCTATTAATTTTCTAGGCGGTCAATTGTCTACCTTTTGGGTTAAGTACCTGCCTCTTGTAAATGTTAACCCAGACACTAAAAATAAAACTAAAAGCTGGCAAATAAAAATTTATTGAGACAAAACCAAAGGAGAAAGAGAACGAAACGGAACCCCCAAGCAAATTCAGTGAGTCGAAAGGTACAAAGGATGTTTGCAGTCGTTTCGCCTAACGACACTAATAAAATATTGAACAGGCCATCGATAACCCAAAAGGAGTTGCTGTCAACGAACCTTGGCAGGGGGGCTAGGGAGGTCCTTTTGGATACTAAGAAGATAGGGAAACGCTTACGTAGATGGCAAAGATGACGATTAAAACAAATTTCCACGACAACCTGGCGCCGTTTAGCCAGCGGAAGGAAGCGAAATTGTTAAACGCAAAAGTTGCAAAATGTCAGGAGATACATTATGGCAAGGAGCTCATGCGGCTGAAAAGGGGAAACGGAAGCAGGACTTTACGACACAAGCACACACACACACTTGAGGCTTTGCACCTATCTTCCTTTTTTTGGAAGGAGCGAAGGAGCCAAGGAGAGACGACTTGGCAACTTGCAGACAAGTTTTAAATGAACGACCAGCGGCTTCCGTTCGATGCGTTCCAAACTGGCCAATGCCCAGGGCTAGAAACTACACTGGAAATAATTTTTATATATTAAATAAGAACCCATTAAAAGGCTGGAAATATTAATACAGAATATCACCACAACTTAGGCTCGAGAAAAATATATTATAAAATGTGCAAAGGATCCTCAAATAATACCAATTATTTAACATTCAAATAGTTGGCCTATAATTCTTTTTAATTACTCTAAAAATAAGTTTAAAAATTTTTAATTTTTATTTTGTACAGTGTAGCCACTTCTGCGTGTGTGCCAGCGAAACGGTGTCTGTGTGTCCATCCTGTGAAGCATGACAATGGCCAAAAGGATGCTTCCTCGAGTGGCGACCACTTGCCAATTGCGATTATGGTTTATGTACAGCCCGATAAAGGTCGTCAATAGGTCGCCTTCGCCAGGCACTCACACACACACACACATACTGGACCCTCTCCACCTCAAGAATAACTTCCTTTCACTCCCTCCTAGGGTTTCCCTGGGCAAGGAGCAAGTTTTCCTACTTCGCTATCAGTTAGAGTCGGAACTTTTGCTGACCATTCGAGCGCCTTCAATGGCTCAATTATTTCGCTTCCATCTTCGCTTTCTTTTTTTTTCTGCTATTCGCTATAACTTGGTTGCTACAAGGATAATTCCTTCGTGGCGTCAGTCAAGCGCACACCCATACCCATAAATATTTAAGGACACACACTACATTTGAGCCGGGCTTTCGAGTGTTATTAGCGTAATTGAGTTTGCTAGCCAATTATGCAGGCAATGAGCCAGAAGCGTCGTGTAGTCCGTACTCCGGATTTCGGCTTTCCCGAAATTTAAAGGCTGTCCTTGAATTTTGGGCATTTCAATGCAAATTATGGAAGCTACCTAGGACCTCATGCGCTGCGGTTGTGTGCGCAACAGTTCTTGAAAATTGCATTTTCTTAATTTATTTGCTATGCAAATTTATTTATTGACTGACCCCACGGGCAGCCGCAGCCACGGCTCCCCATGTCATTTTGGCACAGACATCCTGGTGTTTGCTGCAGGACAAGGACAGAAGCGGACAAATGCATGTGTTGAAGGAGCGGCCAAGAAAATAGCAATCATAATAAACTGGTAAAATACAAAAAAAAAACTTGGGAAAATATTTATTAATATTTTTGGTATACAATAATTTATTTAATTTATTTTAAAATAAAATAGTAATAGTATTAAATTGTTAATGCTATTTTTCTCAACTCAACTGTAAAGGCACTCCTCCCTTTTGAATCTTGCATTCATACAGTTCATGAAGGGAATTCCCCCGAAATTGAATGAAGGATTGAGTGGCTTCATTAAGAATGCAGGAATTGTGATAATTCGGGGGAAGCTGTGACAATATTGAAAATCCTTCACTTTAATTTGTTAGAAATTAATTATATTAATTTTTACAATTTGTAAGTTCAAAAAATTAAATTACATGATATATAACTGACTCATTAAAATCCCTTTCCAAGAGTGAATTTAATATTAATAGTAAAAATGTCTTTAATTTTATTTAATATAAATTTGTTACATGTATTCTACTGTATTCTTATTAAATCAAAGAACTATTCCCATTTTAAAAATGCCTATTTAAAGCTCGCAATAAAATATACGCCAGACATCTATCAAACATTTTCGAAACTTTTAAATTATTACAGAATCCCCGATAACACATTTATGGCGTGTCGCCGTCTCCCTTATCCTTGCATCTCCATCACACACACTTAAAGCTACACCAACAAAAAATAAAAATAAATAAACAAAAAAAAAGAAACAATAAAAACGAATGTAAAACGCAAAAAGTAACCACCGCAAAGGGAAACAACAACAAAAGCAACGTCGACACAGAAATTTCGCCCTTCGAGAAAGACAATGCAAGTTAAATTACGTCACGCGGCCAAACCTCTCTCTCCCTTTCTCCCCTTTGGGAAAATTGCGAAAAAAGAGGAAAATTTACTGTGTGAATTTTTCGGGAGCCAAGCAACGCACACACGTACACACACATGTACACAATGCCCCTGAAGATATGCAATGCTCGATTTGGCATTGCGAACACCACAATGCCAACCGAAATTGCCAACTTAATTTATGTGCTGCGCTAATTAGCGCCATAATTTCATTTTCAATTGGGAAAAAGAACATGGAAGTGCCAGAAAAGTGTGGAGAAAGTATACTGGAGTATGGGGAATATTGGAAAAAGATAATGCTATGCCTGTTGCATTACAAAATCAGCATTTTAAGGTAGTCTTCTTAAGAATCTTTAAATCCTTGATGGTTTTTTTCGTTAGAAAAGTCTTCAGAAGGATATGAAAAACCAAACTAACCCAACCTACTAGACAAATACAGCTTAAACAAAATTATAAAAATAATACTTACACATTCCCTTTCGTTTTTCTCCCAGCCTAATGTCTTTAGGAAGGACTTTGTCTATTTCATGCTCTTTTAATTACTAAAAAAATATTATTTTAAGCTTCATAACCCCTTTTACTAGCGACTCTCACATGAATGTACCAAATAATTCCCTCTTTTTGAAGCTTATTTTCATTTCACTCGCGCTTTGCATGCGAAATTCTGTCGAAAAAAACCCGCTGGCTTCCGAAAAAATAAAATCGAATTAAATGCAGTGCACATATGCTTCAGGCCCATCCTCATTTTCCACCACACACACACACCAACCCCCTTAACAAATGATGTTGACCGCCCATGGTCATGGATACTAATTAATCTTGATTTTCAACAGAAGCAAAGTCCAAAGGATAGGAAGAGCAGTCCAGTGGATATAGAGTGTGCGAGTGTCCTTTCGTCAAAGTGACAATTAAATTAATCATGATGCCAAACGATTATGTCAACAGGACATCCCAGCACACACACACACACAACCACACACATGACGCTTAAAGAACATACAGGAATAGAAGCCCCCCCAAGGAGCCGAACATCCATGGGTGTTGAGTAAGTATTCGTGTCTCCGTTGGTGTTGCAAAATCTAATTAGATGCGGCCATCAAACTTATAATTAACATTTTGACCGCAGCACACACAAATTTTGCAAAAAGATGCGACAAGCTAAAAAAAAAAGGACATGAGCAGCCGCTTGAATTTTATGTACGAGACGTTTATAATTAGTTTTGCGGTTGACACATAAACTGAAGCTTTAATTTTAAAGTTTATTATTAAAAAAACGTCAACCTAGCACTAAATGGCATCTTAAGTAAAAGAACATTTTTTAATTTAAACCATTTGAAAGTAAAAATATATTTAAATACTTATTTTATATACTTTAAATTTATAAATTAAAGCCAGTTAAATTTATTTAAATACTTTAAAATAATGTTTATTTTAAAAACATATAAAATGTATTTTATATAAAAATATAAATAAATAATAATAATAAATATAAATATAAAAAATTATAATATATTTAAAAGGAAAGCTACTTAAAATAAATAGTTGATAGGGAATTTATTTACATTCTGGAAATAAACGAAAAATAAACTATCAAAAAACCGTAAATTATGGTTATTATCCTCGAAGATCGAAATAATTCTCAATGTTCCGTTATAAAAGGTTGAAGACCTAGATTAAAAGGTGCTAAACATGGCTAAACAAAAACGTATTCAAAACAACGTAACTGATAAAAAACGTAAAAATCTTAACGTAAAATTAGAGACGGTCGAAATATCGAAGACATATATAACGTACTTCAAATTTTGTTATTTGACTGCCCATTAATTCTGATTATAAATATAAATTTAAAAAAGTATTTATATTTTATTTTAGTTTCATCGCAATTAAAAAAAATTATGACAAACTTAAAACAATCGAACTATCGGCATGGCTATCGCAATTTTCCCCTCACTATTCGCACGAGGTGCTCGAACAAAAAATACAAGTCAACCAAAATTTTAATAAATTAACTTAAATATCAGACCCAAAATGACGGAAGCTGAGGAAATCAACGGTACTGAGGTGGAAGACGACGAGCAGGACTCCAAACAAAAGAAGTCCGATGCCAAGCGACACGACGATGGAGCCGCAGGTAAAATGTTCATTCAACAACCCCCGCAAAACCGCTAGCAAAAAAATTATTTTACGATTTCCTGCATAATTAAATAATATTTTAAGAAATAATACTTTAAAAATAAAATTATTCACAGATTTGGAGCGGGTTACTGATTATGCCGAGGAAAAGGAAATCTCTGCGGCCAACATATCCAGCGTAAGTTTGCTTAAATAATTAAATATTTAAGGAAAATATTAGTAACTAAAGTTTTTTCCTAATATTTACAGGCTGTGGAACAGTTTGGCAATCAGCGAAACAAGGAGAACGAACTGCGAGTAGCCAAGGAAAAGGAACTCCAGAAGGTGCAAGTAAAGAAGGAGGATATTGAACTGATTGTACGTACCTCTCAAACAAGGATCTTGGGAGTTTCTTAAGTCATATATATATAATCTCCTAACTCCTCTCCATTTCCAGATGAACGAGCTGCTGGTTAGCAAGTCTCACGCCGAGAAGGTGCTCCGTGAACAAAGCGGTGACGTGGTGGCCGCCCTGGAGGCCATCATTAGCAACTGAGGTGCTCCGCATAACTCTGACTTTATTTGTACATTTATAAACGCTAGCGAAGAAAACAAGAAAAGAAAACACCATAAGCCCAAAAAGCTGAAGAAAGAGACTTCTTTTTTTTTTGTGTAAAGAGATAACTTGCAATTTTTATTCAAGAGTATCGCCAGTGCCCATCATCATCTATCATCCATCATCCGTTCGTTGACAATTTTTGACTATCAATAAGTATATGATCAAATATGCGTACATCATCCTTGTTACAATTCATGTTTCCAAGTGACAAAAACAATAGTACTTCTTCGCCTCAGCAGCCTCCCAACTTATACTCGTAAATATATGACTTTTTTGGCAGTTTGCAGTTGCTTCGCCGATTGCTCTAAAATAATTCTATATATGCCAGTTGATCGGATAGATCGTGCCCTTTGTTATTAGCAAGAACCTGAAGGGTCATAGCATCAGCATTATGCTGTTCATTCATGGGGAGAGAGGGGGGAAAGGTAGTTTAAACAGACTTTATAAATTATAAAAACAAAAAACAAAGATAATGAAATTCTTTTATAACAACTAAGCAAACGACAACCCAGTTAAGGCTTTAAAATATGGGGGAAATATGTAGGTTTTTCGTGTAGCAGCAAACATCTAACTAATTTATGTGATTAAATACTTTTGCAAATTCTCGCACGACGGCGTGTTGATATTCTGCGCCTTTCGATACAAGTCCCGATCGCCAAAGGTCCTTGCTTTAGCCAGCATTGAGTCGCCTGTAAAAATCACGAAAATATCAGTTATTTAAAGTTTGCTTCATTGGGAAGCTTGTATAAACTCACGATAATTCCGCTCTCGACTGCAAGAATGCTTCAAATGATTCACAAAGTCCTCCTCTACGGATTCTTCTAGACGTGCCACCGAGCCTTGATACTCTGAATAAAAGTTGTCCTTGACGTAATAGGGAATCTTCAGGCCATTGGTCTCACGCTTGACGGAATATTTACTGAGGGAAAATAGAAGAAACTTGATTAGTTCTGATTTTTAGGATTTTTTTTAGCCATAATTACTGTGAGGGCGTCAGGCTGTACATGGGATCGGAGATGAAGAAGGACGACATCATAGACAGGCCAATAAGCAGCAGGATGGGCAGCAAGTTGATCAAAGCTGATGAATTGTTGCCCTGAAATAAACAAAGAAATGTGTAAATAAGCTTAAAGATAAAGAATTAGTCACTCTCACCTCTCGATCCTCGCGTGCCTGATGACGACGACGCTGCTGCCTCATATACACGTTCTGTTGTGGAAAACCACCATTAAAGAACATATTGAACAGCTCCTCGGCACTGATATCGGCCTGGAAGCCACGCGAGTAGCCGTACTCGTTGTTGTAGTACTGGCCATGCCCGTGGTGGTTTCCTCCATTGCCGTGACCGCTGTGCGACTCGTTGATGCCATAAAGATCGTAATTCTTTCGCTTTTCAGCATCGGTAAGCACGCCAGCAGCATTGCCCAGTGCCTTGAAGGCCTCCACCGATCCCGGGGCCTTGTTCTTGTCCGGATGCAATTGCAGTGCCAGCTTCTTGTATGCCTTCTTGATCTCCGAATCCGTGGCTGTCTTGGTGACACCCAATACCTCATAGTAGTCCTTGCATCTGCAGGATTATAAATAATATAAATAGGAAGGGGGAAGGACATGATAGAGTAACCTACTTTTTAATCTTTCGCACCGCCTCCAGTTGATCGTTGGTGTAATCTGGTGCACTGGATCGTGAATCTGAATTCACACGCTTCCTGGGACCGGTGTCCTTTTCATCGGTGCCACCATTGGCTCCTGGTCGAGATTTACCATTGCTGCCATTGCTGGTGGGGTTGCTCTTCACTTGGGCTAATAGTTCTGCAAAGATCAAATGTAGGTGGTGAGTCAAAGGTCAAAGGTAGTTAGGTAGGTCAAAGGTATCTTAAAGATACAAATTAATACCTAATCGAAAAAGTTATCAAGCTTCAGTTCATAAAGGTAAGCCAAGTCATACAATTTAGGGAACTTTTAAAGGAAACGCTATAGGGTATCTTGGAACGAATCGCGCCAAAGGAGACTATTCTATCCTGTACATATTTAATCTTTTTTTGCCGCCTTTTGTGGTCTTAAGAATAATAATAAAAATTGAACTAATCTATTTGATAACAAAGATTCGATTACCAACTAACGTTTCCAAACTAAAGATAAGATTATTATTGTTATTGTTTTTATAGATCAGTACCGTTTTCTTAAGCGGAGTACCTAGGAATGAAGTTTTCTGGGTTAGTTTTTTAAGGTATTCGCATAATTTAAACAAACTAAACACTATTAATCAAAGTTTCTGATGGATTGCTGATATCTATCGAGCTTGAATTATATTAAAAAGGAATAGGAAAGATACCAATCCCACAACTGTTTTATCACCAATAATTATGGTCGCCGGAGGACCATAAACAATTTGATAATAACCTCACCCACTTATACAGCGCTCTTAGCTAATAATTTTTTCTGTTCATAGCGTTATTTACGCGCCCTTACGTTGTCCTTACTTTTAGCATTCTCCGTAGGATAGAGCTTCTCCGCCTTGATCAGGAACTTTTCGGCCTTCTCGATCTTGCCCTCGGCCAGCGCCTGCACCGCAAAGTCAATGCAGCGCTGGGCCTCGTCCTTGTTGCCGTCCATGGATCCACCTGGCTTATCCACTAGTTAGTACGTGGTGATCAAAGTAAATAGTGGGGCTCTGCTATTTCCGTCTCGCTCTGTGTGCCCCTAGGTGTGTGTGCTTTACAATTTACGGACTACGCACTAACACACAAGCGTTAGCCTGCTTCTCTCCTGGTTTCCGCACTCGCGTCCGGTAAAAGTTCCGTGTTTCTATGCTATGCACCTGCACATTTGCTCGGCAATTTGATTTTACGCTGAATTTAATTGATTTTATTTGGTAAAATTTTTCATCAGCCGAAAAATACAGAACGGAGTTGCCACCTAGTGTCAAGAGAAAACATGAAGGACCGAGGCTGCCACCTGTCGAAGAGGAAATATAGCCAGTTTAGCGGATTGTTAGTTAGTAAATATACAAAGAAATTTTAAATTAAAATATTACAATTTTTAATATTACTAAGCATATGCGTTTATTATAAACAATTATAAACCATGCGTAAAAGTTTAAATATAAGAACAGTAATTTTCACTTAGCTCGAAATTAAAAGTTATAAGCAAAGGAATACCTGAAAATTAAATCATTTTTTGTTATATTAGTGGGCAATGCCCTCATAATTATTCTTAAAATACAATATATTCTAAGTTATTTTTCGAATGTCTCTAAGTTTTATCATAAATTGATTTGAGTAGCACTTTTTTGAAATGGTCTCAACTCAACTTTAAAGCGTCTCAAAATTGAAAGTGTTAAACATAAACAAATTAATTAAATCGTTATTTGTAAAATAATTGATCAACATAATTAATTTCAATAGAATGTAATTGCATTATGAGGCTAAAAATTAACCAAATTAAATAATATATTTATTAAATCCGGTTTGTCGGGAAATAGCCAGAACCGTCAAAAACGAGACAGAGTTGCAGCGGCGCGGCGTTGCCGGACCGCCGGCGAGCACCCACGAACATATGTATGTGTGTGTGAGTGTGAGTGTGTGCCGCAGCATGGGAAGCGAGTGATTCGCTGATTCGCCAGATTTCGTCGTATTTATTTGGTAAATTTCTAAGAATTAGCGGAGGGCCAGCGCCAAACGAGTGCAGTGTAATTAACCGCGAAAGGCGCTCTAATTAACGCATTGCGGCCCCATCGTCAGTCGTCATCGCCGCGAACGCGACAGTGTGCGTGTCGAGTGCGTGCGTACGCGAGTGTGTGTGTGTGGCGCAGTTCACACAACTTGGCCTGGAAAAAGTGAAAGAGTATTTTTTCGGCCATATTGTGTTGTCATAGCTGGGGAAAAGTGCATTTCCCCGCCATATGGAGTTACCCGAAAGTGCATTCTAATTCCCAAGTAAATAGGGCGACTTATGTAAAGCGGACCAACAACAAGAAAAACCTATTTACATTTACAAAGGTGCGTACGAGTGCTTTGTGTGTGTTTGTGAGCGCATGCATGTGTGTGTGTGTGTTAAAAGTGCATCCAATTGACATTTTCGTTAGATTTTCTATCTCAAATGTTTTTTATTTACTAGATAAATGTGTTTTTACGGAGATCTTAGGTTTCTACTTCTTGAGGGAGGCAAGCACAGGAACTCCATCCTTGGGCATGAGAGGTACTCCGTTCACTCCGAACTCAATCTCGCGCTTTTCCTTGCGGATCTCCAGGTTGAAATTGGACAGAACCTTGGCTATCGCAATCTTCACATTGACTTTTCCCATGCGGGCCCCTGGAAATTGAGGGAATTTGGTTATTAAAGTACAGGAATGTTTACTGAAATAATGTCTTACCAATACAGTGCCGGGGTCCCTCGCCAAAGGGCATAAAGGCAGCCTGATTGAAGTCCTTGTTCTCATCTTGAAAACGCTCTGGCTTATAACTGAGCGGTTCGGGGAAGTACTCTGGATCCCGGTGCATTCCTATCAGGGAAATCACAATTTGCGTGCCCTTCTTGATTACCTTATTGCTATCAGGCACTGGGTAATCCTGTGTGCAGATTCGGTTTAGCAGTGGTAGAGCTGGGTACTTGCGGGCAGTTTCTATAAACGAAAAATTATATATTTTTTTTGTCAACATTTACCAGGTGGGGTCTCCCTGCATTGCTTACCCAACACGCACGCCTCCAAGTACTTCATATCCGAAATGGCATCGTAGTTCAATCCGCCGTGTTTCTCGATGGCTTGACGCACATCCTCCTGCGCCTTGGCCATGGCCTCCGGATGTTGGGTGAGCTCGTAAAGAGTGAAGGCTGTTGTGGAGGCTGTGGTCTCATAACCAGCTACGAAGAACAGGAAAAGCTGTCCAGCAATAAGATCCTTGGACATGGACTTAACGCCTTGCCTAGAGTTCTCTGCCGACCAAACGCTATCGTCGGTGCTGATTTGTCCCTGATTACGCAGTTGCAAAAGGAGTTGCAGTAGATCCTTGCGAACAATGTTGTTCTTCTCCCTGAGATCCACGGTGCGGTTGGACAGTTCCCGCATCCTTTCATTGGCCTCCTGTTTCCAGCCAATTCGGACAAAGAACTTTTCCAAACTGGAAATAAGTAGTTGCTAGTGATTATTGATGCTTTTGTTGATATTTAAATCATGTTTTGGTATTAATCTTACCCGGGATATAGGAAACTTGTTGTGCCGCGAACATTATCCTCAAAGTTGTTGCGATTTAGTTTCCTGCTGATCGTGATAAACTCATTATTGGGATCTGCAAAACTGTCCACTTCCAGGCCAAAAATAGTCGATGCTATGATATCGATGGCATAACTAAGGGGAGGAATATAAAGTGCAGCTATATTAGTACTATCTTTTAGATAAGGTAACCGGGGAGTGTGATAAGATATATCTAGAAAGGAATTCCCCACAGGGGATTACGATAATTACTGGACACAAATAAATAAATTGACTTATGACAAGAAAATTATAGTTTGGTTATGAAAGTCTTCTTATTTATGGGATTTTAAAGCAAATATAAATTATTTTCCTTATAGAACCATTTTATATCATATAATATGTAAATAGGAAAACAACAAAAATAACCCTATCTCCCTTGTTTTGCTAGCTTCTTGCTATGCTAAGTATCTCGGACAAACAAACAAATGCGAAAATAACAGGTTTCTGTGGCGTTTCTTCCATCTGATCGCTTCAATCTAATCAGGTATTCCCCACCCAACACCACCACTTACGTTGCCATAAGGCTCTTCAGTTCCACCTCCTGACTGCCGCCGGACTGAGGCAGTTGCTTCCTCAAGTGGGCTACCATTTTATCGGCGACTGCATTGGAGGTCTCGAACATGGCCTTCAGCTTGCCGGAGGTGAAGGAGGGCGTCAGCTTGGTACGCAGCGCCTTCCAGTTGGCTCCCTCCATTTGGAACAGGCCCGCGGACATGGGATCGTTCTCCTCGTCTACGTAAACGCCGCGATCATGGAAGCTGGCAAAGTCCTTGACGAGTATATCGTGGGCTAGCTGGGCTTCGCGAACCAGGAGAGCGGGTCTCAGGGTGAGATACATCCCAATTACCGGCTCCTTGGTAGAGTTGTACATATCGTAGATGGCCATGCCGAAGGATCGCTTTCCCCGTCTCACGGAGTCTAAGGCACCAAAGGGGATACTCACGCCCGTCGACGGGAAACCCTTGCGGTCCCAGTAGCTGAATGTCCATTTTAGGTACACATACAGCAGGGTCACGGCCCCGATCAGTAGCACTATTCCGATCATGATTTTCTCTATTCTTGATGTCCGCTCTGCTAGCGAGTCAAATTGAAACTAACCGGTCGATTCCGACTGCCGATTTATAGTCGTTAGGGAGTCCCTATCGCCGATCGCCGCGTGTGTCAAACAATTTCGCCATTGCGGGCAAGAGATTACCTTATCTCTCACTCTGCTTGGACGTAAACACAGCTACTCTAGGCTTATATTCCCTTAGAGGCAGGTTCAGGTTATTCTCTGAAGATACCCTGGCATGATTTTCATGATAGTTTCATTGTGCCTTCTCAGTGTGACACTGCGATTTAGCGCAGTCGCCTATATTTTGCCGACGTAGCGTTATTTGCAGGTACTGCTTTCTCTGGGCACCGTCGACAACCCTGGTTGATATGGCAAATCTTTATGATAATGATACGCCAATAGCTCTCATTTGAGACCTGTACTCAGTATGCATTCAGTTCTGAAGGTGGGTGTTACTTCATAGCAAAATGCAGTATAAAATTACATCTTAAGTAATGAGAAAATGTAAATTTGAACTGTAGAAACGTTTTTAATTAATTGAAAATCTAGGAATTTGTTCGAAAACATGCTTAAGAAATATAATTCAGATTAACATACCATATTTTCTTTAATTAACCTTTTGTTGTCTGTTTTCGATATTATAAATCTTATGAAATAATTGAACATTCATACTTTTCAGGTGTAAATTGGTTGACTAAAATGTGAACAGAATTTCGCATGAAAAACACTTGTTACACCCTTATTTGTTGCCAATAAACAGTCTGCTTTGTTTGTTTTATAAACTTACTTTACATTCATAGAGCAAGCCTGATTGAATCTTTGGAATCTGTAATGGGCTTATGTAATTTGTAATGCACTTGTTATCATTCCTACGTTTTAGAAAACGTAATTTTTTATAATCAACTAATCATTTAATAAACTAGTTTTTTTTTCTTGATTTATTATCTATTATATTCTAGATTTACAGGCTTGTTTCCATGACAATAATAGTCGCATTAAATGAACTTAATAATCAAATGACTTATCAGAAAATCTTTAAATTTATTTTTCTATTAAAAGTCATGTTTCTGTGTTCACTCATTAATATGAAAGATTTATTTGGTTTTAATGAAGTAGATTAACTGGTTCGCTTATCACAAGGCTTGAGGAATTGATAGGGCGGCTTGGTGAATTCGAATTGACCTAGGCCAAGATGAAGGGGATATCCCCCAAGTGGTGCGGGGACCTATGACTTGCAGATATCCCACTACTATAATTATTGCGCTCCGCCTTTAAAACTTTCCGCTGGTCGCTTTGACCCGGTTTGTTGACTTTGACGTTTCTGGTAGCGCCGCTCCCGATGTTTTTCAGGTTGTTCACTTGAGAACTTTGTGCTGTTACTGTTTTATTTCTGTTTTTATTTTTGTGCAGCGAGTGGCAACGACTTTGGTTAAACATGTAAGCAACCCACACAAAGGCAACAACAATAAAGAAGCAAAAACACAAGCACAACAACAGCATACCGCAGGCAAAGCCAAAGACGTTGAACCGATTCACGTATTTCTGTTTTTTATACGTTTTATTTTTGTTTCTGAAATTTTTCGGTTGTATGCAAATAAATATATAAATATTTACAGCTGCATTTAACAGATACAAGGGTTCATATTTGAAAGTACCTAAAGTTCTTCTATAGTTTTAATTCAGAGAAGTACATTCTTTCTTGATAACATTTTGAAATTTTCAGTAAAACAAAAAACAATAAACAGTACTAAACAGTTACGTATATTTTAAAGACAGAATATTTAATATGTTACGTCTCGAAATAAATTAAATTTTGACCAAATAAAAATGTATTTTTAATTCCCAATTTAATATCATTATTGCATTTCTTTTATTTCCTTACAGAGCTCTTTTAACGTGTTTGGCTTCGGTTTTGTAATTACAGGAAGGAACAGCAGTAATAACACAAACAAGGTGAGTTTCTTTGCAAGATTTCAGCAATTAAGCCGGGATTACTTACTCGAGGGGGGCCAGTAACCATATATATGATTTTCAATTGAACAGCGCCAGCTCAATTATTAAGTCATTAATACTGGGGGATTAGCTTTCTTTCTCTCCTCCCACTCGTTCACCCCTCCTCTTTGTATGATAAGCTGCTGCTGCTTGCTATCTCCCTTCCACCGTCAGTAGCCTTGATAAGGGCCTTGAGAGAGCGGCGCCATCAAACATACAGCAGCAAGCTTTTTACTTTGTTCTACAGAGTGCTGTCGGAGTAATCATTTTCAAGCTAAATTTTCGTTATTTTTAATAAATTTTTTAATGCAATAAATAATACATTTCTACGGTTCTGAAACTGACAAAATTCTTTTAACTTAAGTCTATATAATATATTTTTTAAATAGTAAGGTTTAATCTCAGCTATTCTCAACTGCTAGCTATCTTTTCCTAATATTCTGCATAGTTGGCAACATTGGTTATTTTTCGCTCAAAAAACGCCGCTGTGTGGCGCTCGCTCTTGTCTTTCTCCAACTACGAACGAGAGAGAGCAAAAAGCTCCCCGTGCCAAAGCAAAACAAACACAGAGCAGAGCAGAAACGCTGCAGAAGCAGAAGCAGAATAAGCAAAACAAAAAAATATATATTAAGAAAAAAGCTCATTCGTCAGCTGCTGCGCGTAGCGAGTAGTAGTTTCGTGTGCTTTTTGCGGAAAAATCCACATTTACATTGCTTACCGATTTTCCCCCGATTTACACCCACAGTGATTCGCAACGGTAAATGTCAAGTGCTTGGTGTCCAGCCCAAAAGAATTTTTCTGTTTGGCTAAAAACGCAGTTTTCCTTGCTTTTCACGCGCGTGTTTCGCTCTCGGTTGTTTCAGAGCGCGTGACCTTAATCTGTGAACATCGTGGAATCGTAAAACTCCTCCACTCGGTGAAAAAAGGTCTCGAAATTGTTTTAAAACACGCGCAATTTAACACACAAAGTGAATAATACAAGAAGAGCTTTTTACAACAACTCGAACAGAGGCAGCAACTTCCTCAATCTAACGCCCTTCAACAATGTTTTAGGCAATATACGCAGATATAAACTACGTTATATATGGAAATTAGCCCCGGACTCAAGCTCTATACCTGGAGAATAGGGTGGAGAGAAGAAGAAACAACTTTTTCTATATGCAATACATATCTTTTGAGAGGAGTCGGCTTTTTCAAAGACACCCGGCACTTGCTCTTTCTCTTTTTTCTGATACTCTCTGGTCCCATCTCTTTTACTTGGCTGTATAGCCCACTCTCTCTTTCCTTTGGCTGTGACGCAAATCACATGTTTTATAAAGCCGTTCGATTTTTGATTAAATTTATACAACAATTAAATTCTGTTTGTTTAACATGTGAGCTTTTTTGGGCAGAGTTGCCAGATAGGCGAGATACCGAAATACATAGCATTGACATTCTCGAAAACCTTAGAGACAGAAAGAGTACGAGGGGGCGATAAAAAGACACATGTTTCGAATAGCCCAAAAAGCTCTCGGGGGGCAGTTCAATTAAAAACATGTGCGCTGCCGCTGCCCTCTGTCCAATATTTTTGTTTATTGTTTATAAATGAGAGAACTTTACTCCGTCCCTCTCGCACTTGGGGGAGGGTAACTAGCAGCTGAGGTCAGCTTGGAAACGCCGGCGCAGCTTTTTGTGTTTTCTTTTTTATTTTGCAAAGACACTCGAAGCTTTTTCCGTAAGCTTTTTTTCTATATAGTATGTACATTTGGATGTACATATATACATTCGTCTGTATGTATGTATTAAAGTGGAATCGAGTGATATAGGAAGAACCTTGTATGCTCATGACTATGGAATGGAATTTAGTATGTGTAGTTTCTGTTTTTTTTTTTTGTTTGTAGTTTCTCAATTCATTATGCCTGTGCTCTCATATTGTTTCTTTTCTTGAGAGTCTTACAGAAGATTCTTTTGCAGGAGATGTAGGGGTTCTTCTTCTAGTCTCGGCTGGGGCGTCAATGTTGACCTCCAAAAAGCTGCTTTTGCACTGATTTATTTTGCCGGCCAGCTGCGGAAGCGTTTGCGTTTCTTTCGCTTCTTCTTCGGCGTTTTTGCTCGTTTTTTATTTTTATTTATTGATTTCACTACTTTTTTTGGCCGAGGCTGAGCGTTTTTTAATGCCGGTGGGCCATGTGCAGAGGCTTGGAAAGAGAGAGGGCAATATGTTGCTCCAAAGAGTGAGCCATACAGTAGTCACGCCGTAAAGTCGGTTTTTATGAAAATATTTTCTATATATTTTCTAGATCTATTTAATTTTCAGACTTTCAAAGTAAATTACTTTAAAGGTAATATTCTTTTATAAATTATCTTTAGTAACAGATTAAAACAGAGTCGGAAATTGCCATTTAGTGGTATATTATTCATTTTCTTGTTGTTCACTTTAGCAAGTGAGCCCTGTGTGTCTTTGTTTAATTTAAAGCTTATCACATAAAGAACAACAAAAAAAAAAAAATTTTGCTGCTGATAACTTGAATCATTTTTGATGTTTTTTCACTCAGTATCTTTTTGTTGTTGCTGGCTTTATTTTTATTTTTATATTTTTGATTTGGCATTGAACATTGTACGCTGGTTTTTTCACCCTTCTTTTTCGGTGTGTGAGTGCCGGAGACGCGATTATATTTGTGAGTTGTGTGCTGTTTGGCTTTTTGATTATTTCGCGTGCAAATATCACGTATGCGACGGGTTGTCCAGAACTTGCTCATTATATAGCCACACACGTTCGCTAAACAATTGAATGTGATAAAATTTATGTCTTGTTCCTCTGACTTTTTTTTATATATTTATATTTGGATGCAGATAACTCATTTTGCATTCTTGATGATTGATAAAGAACAATCTTCGCCTATTTCAAAGGGATGTTGAGTTGTTGTAACTCCAAAAGCTAAATATCTAATCTTTGTTTTTGTAAATGTTCAGATAATAAACAAAATGACGTTCGTGTGCTAACAACAATAAAAGAAACCTCCTATAAGTTGTTCAATAAAGTGCCAAAGAAAACTAAAAAAACCGTAAAAAAAATAAAATAAAACCATCACCATCGGAGCTGTAAAAATCAAAGCAAACGTTTTGATTTATCATTCTTGAGTTCTGTGCGGGAAGTTGTTGAAGAAAAACCTTCAAAGTGGATACCCTGGCGTTGCCTCTTGGAGGGCTCTCTCATGTTAGAATGGCGCTAGCCAGGTAAGAATCAGTCATTCTACTGCAAATTAAGAAAAACTAAAAGATATATCCAAAAATGTATTTTATTTAATTCTGTTTTTATTCTGGTAATCATCAATAGAATGATGATTAATATTCTGATATTTGTAGTCCCCCAAGCTTACAGGTATATTTCCATTAGATAAGATTATATCTTAAATGCAGTATCTTGTTGTCTTATCACTAAACGAGATAACATTATAGTGCAATTTTATCACAATCTTAAGGGTATCTTATATATTTTTGTTCTTTTGATACTGCTTGTTTTTCGAATTCGGAATTGCCATAGAGTTTTTTTCAAGTGCTCCAAACCTATAGTATTTGTGAGGACCCATGAACCATGTCGTCAGTAAATTTCAATAGAAAATCCCTCATACCAATGCGAAATCTCACATAAAATTGGATGATCTCTAAAGATCAATTAGTGATGCCCACGCTAGACAGCGAAAATTCAATGTCGTCATTAAAGCGATTACCGTTAAGCGATGAAAAAATACATCAACGGCGACGATAACAATAACAATAACAAAACAACAAGGCGAGTGCGCGAAATCGAGGAAACAATCAAACGAAAATGCAACATTTGATGAGCACGTGTGTGCGTTGAGTGTGAGTTTACTGTGTGTGTGTGTGTGCATTGCATTAAAATTCAGGGGCAATGCCGTGCCTAGATGTAATTACCGTTATAGTCAAGTGCAAAACATATGGGATACGAGATAAATATCGCCCCGCCTGACCCCTCGTTTTCATAAAGTGAAATGAAATTTCCGAGCGAAAAATACAGTGCACTTTCGTAACAATAAATAACGGGCTTTACTATATTATATTTTGAGAAAATGTCAAATTTATTTCATCTTAAAGAGTGTGACCATAAATCTACAAAGTGTCACAAGATACTTTCAGCCCTTTCACCTAATGAACGTAAGGAAGTATTCATTCTCCGGAGCACGCACTGTAGTAAAACTCATTGCAATTGTCATAATTGTAATTGCAATTTGTTGCAACCTTAGGAAAGTAAGGGGGCTAAGAGGAGATGATTACATATTGTTTAGGGTTAGGCTCACCAGATGAGAGAGTGAGTGAGGCCAAGATTGACCCTTGTGTGGGCTACACTTTCACGGATTTCGAAAATGTCTTTTTGCATTCGGGAACCCCGATTTTCACTATTTATTGAGAGAAAGTGACGGCAAAGATCAACCAGCGTGTTGCGCTCTCTTTCGCTCTCTTTTTGCACTCGAGCAGTGGGAGAGGTTAGGATAGCAGGGGGAGGAAGAGGAGGAACGCGCATGTAAGCCTCGTGCTAATTCATTTTAATTCATTTGACCGAAGGTGACTGGCAGTGCGAGAGAGAGAGAGAGGCAGAGAGGAAGTGAGAAGAAGGGCAAACATGCACTGTTAGTAATCTCCATATCTCTCCCTCAGTACCTCCCTCTCTGGCACAGTGTTTATGTTTTGTTTTTGTAACGGGTTATTTGAATTGTTGTAGTACTAGTATTTTTTTTTTATTGTCTACGTGGAAGTGTGTGGCAGCTTTTTGTTGTGTATTTGTCAGTATTTTGTGCGAAGGTGTTTCCATTTGTAATTACCATTACATGCCAGCGAGTGAGTGTGTACGTTGGCTTGTTGTAATCGCGGGTTACAAAAGCGCTTTGTTGTACCTGCACATGCTGGCCGTTTCAATTTGCCGCGATAAGGTCGTTTTGCTCTATGATTTTGCGTAATTGCATTTGATAATATTTCAATGCGAAAACTTTTAAGGGAACCCTCACAACCATTGGGGTGTAATTTACCCGCAAGTTTGTTTTGTAGTTAACATAGCACACAAAACTCATAATGTGCACTTCCTTGTTTAGGTTTCGTCACCATTTTGCAGGATGCCAATAGAATAGATTCCTTAGATTAGAGCTTAGTTGAGTGCCAAATTTCCAGATCGGAAACCATAAACCATCCTTCAAAAAGTCATAAAACAGGCAGTATAGCCTGTATATATTTTGTTTTTTGTAAGCCAAAGCAAACAAGCTGATTAAAGATTTTCTTAACATTTAAAAAACAGCCAAAACATGTATAAAATATGTATATTTTCAAGAATCTATAAAAACTTTTGGGATTATAATAATGTTTATGGGCTGAAAATATAACACCGTCAATAATTTTGTTGATTTCTAAAAGAAAATGTCTCCTTTCATGTTGGGTTACCCAATAATTGGCTTCTAAAAGGAATTTCTCACTTTGCATACCAAATGTTCGCACAAAAATATGACATTTTTTCTGAATATTTCCCAATATTTTCCTTTTTGACACATTCAATATGCTATTTGGCAACAGCCAAGGTTCTTTTGGTTTGTCACGACGAGTGTATCAAACGAACCTCGAACCTGTTGAGGAGCTGCTTGTGAGTTTGGCATAGGGAAATCGATGTGGTCACCGAGATTGAAGGTCTTTCCCTAATAAGCCTGAACCACATAATTTCCATTTCCATGCGGGAGACTTTGCTTGGACTTTATGGGTTGACATAAATGGGGGATATTCATTCAGTTTACCACCTCAAATACACCTCAAACACCCTAAAACACTACTCTCCTCGTTCTATATTTATATCGATGACATGATTTCGTTTCAATGTTCATGCCACAAAACTCACGGATTCCGCGCCCGATAACAATGACACAATTCGAGGGTATCTGTGAGTGTGTATCTGTATCCGTGTTCCGTATCTGTATCTGTGTCTGTGTTCGGTATCTGTGAGGTTGCCAGCCACCCGCAACGAAGCCACAATCATTGACCCTCATGCCTCCAATCGGGCCAACATACACATACACACACTCGGGCACACACCCATGAGTGGCAGGGACTTATTGATTCAAATTGCTGCCATATTATGTCGGCCTATCACTGGCAACCTAATTGGTTAACCATACCAAGGGTATTACGATATGGGTCGAGTGGAGCAGCACGGCACGGCACTGATTCTCATGGCTCTCTAACCCATTTCCCCTTGAATTGAAAGGGTTGGGCAATATCTGAGTGACATCTACAAGTGCAAATTCTAAACATGAGATCCTACTTTGTGTACTCTAAGTAGGGGTTGTCTTTTAAGAGGTTATCAAATTTGTTAAGTACATATATTCTGCTCTTTGTGGTACCCAATAACCTACAGAAAACTCATTAAATTTGATCAAAAGAACCTCCAACCAGCCAACAACAGTGCAAAAGGTCAATTAACAAAGGCATTCGTCACTAGCCGTTTGAGTAAGTCGGTTACAATCGCAACACCAACAATCGCAACTAATCGCAATTACAGCATTTCATTCTCGCCCGCAATCGCATTCAAACATTCGAATGCGAAAACAACAAACAGAAATAATGTTTACAACAAAAAGCGCGACGAAACAATGCACACAGTCGAAAGGAGGTGGAGGCTAAGAGTAAAAAGCAAAAAGGCAGAAAAGCAGAGAAGCAAAGCAAAACAACGCAACGGAACTGAGCACAGCGCGCTGCTGAGCGACAAAAATGCAGCTGATGAAAAGCGTTGGCGTCGCTGCTTTTGCCTCTGCTTTCTGCTTCAGTCTCTGCCTCTGTCTCTGCTCCGATTTAGCCTCGTTACAAGCCGTCGCGTCACACGCTTTGGTCGCTGTGGACGGACGCTTTGGAGGTGTCACCAGTGCTGCCAACTTTGGGCTATGAAAGTCAATCATGAGACTCTAAAAATATAGTTAATATATTGCCCAAGCATCCTTCTTCTGTAGAATATTATATTTTTATCCAGAATATAAAAAAAAGAGCATCACCAGTCAAATCGATCTAGTTATTATTGATCCGCCTGTTGTCAAAATGTAAAATTATTTGGGAGAAACTTCATAGATTAACTTCCTTTATTTTATTCTTAAGCATTTACCACATAAATTGGATCAATATTGGATAATATACGATATCCCATATCTCATATAAAAAATATTTTTTAAAGTCGAAACATTTACTTTCTGCAATGTAGGTAGGCCGATTGAACAACATGACAGCTTTTGTTTAAATTTTCTGTACTTCTAAATTGAGATTTCGGAACACCTTTTTTTAAAAAACTATATTTTTAATATGAGAGCTCTAAAATTAAATAAATGTGCATTAATATTCCAATCGCACCTCAACCTCACTCAAAACTTCTTCACCTCACGTTTAAAGTCTGATAGCTCAAAATCTTCGGATGCAACAAAAAAAGGTAACTCATATTAGTAACTAATACTAAAAAAAAGTAACATAATCGTTTAAAAATCAACTAAAGCTGCTACGGCAGGTAAACCGTCTAAAGATGCTGCACCAGATAAAACAACTAAAGGTGCTGCGCAAAATAAATCAGCTAAAGATACTGTGGCAGCTCAATCCACTAAAGATGCTGCTCCAGGTAAAGCGACTAAAGATGCAGTTGCAAATAAATCGACAAAAGAAGCCGAACCTAATGAAAATGCCCCGCCGCCAAAAGACGAAACTGTTATATCCGGTGGATCGACATCCAAGCCAAAACCACCTCCTGTCTCACCTCCATCAAGTCAATCAAAAGGCAAAAAGGAAAATTGTGACACAATAATTTATCAGAAAGTTGCTCCAAAAAATACAAGTAAAAAGAATCAACCTTTAACTAAAATTCAAGGAGGCGCTCTTGAGTGTAAAGGAAGATTACCAAAAATACGTTAGTATTTTCCCCATTAGAAAAGCTATTACCCGAACTAATTAACATTACATTATTTATCTAGCAACACCGCCAGAGGTAAACCACGCAAGTCGTTATCAAAAATTATCGCTATTTTTGGCTTTGCCTTTGATCGCCATTCTTACGCTATTTATTTTTGGCTCTCGGATCGAAGGGGATCGCTCAGAATTCAAAAACTATGGTTATTTGTATAAGCGTGAAAAACGGTTTCATTTCGGTGATGGGAATCGATCAGCTTTTCATAATAGTCATTATAATGCTTTGCCGCCAGATGGATATGAGGATGAAATCGATGAAGAAGGGCTTGGGCAGGATAAGGAAACGGAAGAAGACAAGAAATCCCGATTAAAAGAATTTCAGAAAATTTTTAAGCAATGGAAAAAGCATTCTGACAAAAGGGAGGCTCGGGCGCAAAAGGAAATGGCGGCTGCCCATTAAAACTTTAAAATAAATAGCAAAATATGTAAGATGGGCATTACTGGATATATTTAAATTCATTAATTTCAAATTAGAAATTGGCAACACTGGCCGTAGGCCGCGCCCTCGCATCGCCGGCTGCGCAGTCGCCCTCGTCAGCGGCCGCAAAATCTTAGCCCCGAATTCGAATTCGAATTTTGTATCGGAATCGGAATTCGTCACCAACTTTGGACACTTACATGTGCCGCCAACGCTGACGTCAGCGGAGGCGTTGGCGTCGCTGCCTCCTGCCAGCGTTGCAGTCACTGTCGCAGTCAACCCCGACGTCAGCGTCAGCCTCAGTTGTCGGCAGCGTGTACTACTTTTGTTTTCATTGAAAGCGTTTGCTGTAATGTTTGTGGTACGTTCCGCCGGCAGCGCAGTCGACGCTGCTCACATGGTCACTGAGCTTCGGCCCGGCTCTCTCGCCGTCGCCTCTCCCTCTGCCATTCTGCCAGCGCGCTGCAGCGTCGCTGCCTGGCGTTGCCTCGCTCATTTGTTTTGGGTCGAATTGACCTTCTTAAAAAGTAGGTAACCTCATTTCTCATTTATCGTGTACAACTTACATGCTGCTGCTGCTGTCGCTGCTGCCACTGCCACTGCCTCTGCTTCCCTGCTGTCGCTGCTCAGCTGAGGTTGGTGTGTGCGTGTGTGTTGTGCGGTGTGTTTGTGGTGGGGGGGCTTGTCTCTTGAGTAAAAAAAGCAACAACTGAAATCGCACGCATCGCTCTTAATTGTTTGGCCAAGATTCTTTGATTGGTTGTAAATACTCTCTCATCGTACTTGGAGGAAAAACTGCTCCATCACACTTTGAATTTCCACAAAAAGAAAATGGTGCAATGATTTTACATTCCTGTGGCATAAGGCACAGTTATTTGCTTTGGTTTTCTTGAGAATGTTGTAAACTTCTGATGGTATTATGAAATTTAAGTATGAAACTAAATGGCGTACTTCAAAACACTGCATAATTTATTTTAAAATTTTAAAACCTTTCAAGTCATATGTATTCTTTTTAAAGTTTTTATATTTTTTATAAGATTACTTGTGTAGTGTTGCTGTTGGTTAAGTTTAAAAATTATAACTAACTTATAACTACAACGACAATATTTATAATAATAATTTTAGTAATATTTTCTAATAGCCGTAAATCGTATAAAGACCTAGTATTATAGCTCTCAGAATGTAGCAATCCCCATTTTATAATTTGCGAAATTTTATTTATAAATTTTCTTCCTTTATTCGCTTGAGACCCCAAAAACAAATACAAGAAAATCGTATATCTTCCTAGTGTCTCACCGTCGCTGACTGACGTCACAAGGCGGGCAGCAACGACACTGACAGAAATAATTGAGGCGGGCAAGGTTTTTCTGGTGCGTCGCACAGATAGATTATGTTACAGACTTTTCCGAAGGTGAGGCCTAATTCAAAAAGTGTGTAATTTGTTTTCCTACGCTGATTGCACTTGGAATTTATGCTGCTCCCTTGGTTTACTTATGTATTTATATATTTTTTTTTTTGTGTGCGTGCATAAACATTGAACGGTGTTTCGCTCGCCGAACTATAACCAAAAACTATATAAAAACTATACAGTAGTGAAACGAGCGAACTGAACTGAGCAGAGCACAGAGAGCTTAGCGGTGGCAGCGAGTCGTTGTCGGCAGTCTCGTTTACTATTGACACCATTAATGTTGCCCCAATGTAGGTCAATTGCGCGCTAATTGCCCCGCAACTCGCCTTCTGCCGGGGTCGTTTCGCCTTCTCTTCTCTCGCCTCGTCTCCCTCGCGTCACCCCTCCTCAATGCTGTCGCTGTGCCACTGCCACTGCCTCTCATCAGATTCAGATACAGCTTCAGATTCAGATTCGGATTCAGCTGGCTACCTCAGCTGCTGCTGCCACCTCTGCTGCTGATGATTGACGCTGCCAGCAGCTTGACCTTTTAGGCCTCAGGAGGAGCAGTGATGACAGCATGGGTTTATTTTACCCAAGATTTTAGCTTCCTTATAGGAATACGTAGGGCTTTTATGGTGTATATTTGTAAAGTTTTAAAATAAACTGTTTCTAAGCCATTTTTGGTTGAGGGTCAATGCACGGCTTAAACTATTAAGCTCTGGTTTGGGCCAATTAAAAAGGATTAACAGAAAACGTATTAATCTTTAGAAAGATTGAAATCTAATAAGTTTCAAAATTTGGCTAATATTTTGACAGCTTCTGGCCACTTATAATATAGCTCTTGTTTTTATTAAGACATAATAATTAATTTGATCACTTCTCTTAATTAAAATAAATATTAACAAATTTGAAAGGTCTGTTTTAACCACCTTTTAGCCTGATTTGGCAACACTATCGTGTAGAAATTGCCTATATTACGCATACGCCCTGTGAGACGACATGGCAACCGCAAAATATTATAACTCTCAGCTCACTGGAATTGCCTGTGCGCTGTGTTGTCTTTTTTGGTTTTTATATTTTTTTTCGGCGCAGTCAGCCCCCAAACTCTGACCTAGTTTCCGCCTTTTTGGGCACCGAAAAAAACTTTTGTTGTACATTTATTTTCTGGGCCTTTGTATTTTTGCATATTTTATGATTTAATCAAAGAAAATTATACACGCATGCAGAGAGGAGCATCCCAGGGTGTGCCCTGGGGGAAACGAATCCCACAAATGTGAGTAGTAATACGAAGGTTTCCCCCCGGAAAAAACACACTCACTCACTCATGGTGGTGCTGCTGCTGGGGCAATAAAACCGAAACTTGACCCAATTCTGAAAACTGATGCCGTCTCTGTTTTCGACGCTCTGTTTTTTTTTCTGTTTCTCTGTTTGTGTCTCCATATCGTCGGGCCTGCTAGAAGTGGTTGTATATATGTACATGCATATATCCATCTTGTATTATAATTATGGAATTCCCGATAAACAATTGTGGGTGCTGGCGGGGAGAAATGTACAAATATCGATCTATGAGCTAATTGAACACTTGGGAAATTGAATTACTCTACTGGGAGCGAATCGTTCGATAAGCAAATAAAACAATGCAATGAGGAAATAACAAAGAATATGTGTTGAATACGATGGGATTTTTAAATAAACATTTACAGCAATCGAAATCAGTATCAAATGATTTATTTTAGAGTCCATTAAGCGTATTATTTCTAAGAGGAATTGCCTAACATGGGTTGGATAATTTCAAGAGACTACAATTACATGTTTCTGTAAAGATCTAATTGATTTTAATGATTAATGTGCAAGCTAAATATTTAAGGTATTGAGCCACATTTCTTAGTTTAAAATAATTAAACATCAAGAGAAAGCTTTGAATTTATTGTTTTAAAACATATGTATCTTCATAAAGGATGTTTAGATCATAAAATTTAAGATACATACTTTAAAATATTTTTACCTCTCATAAATTCAAAAAGGAAGCAATGATCATAATTTTTTATTGTTAATTTTTCGTATTTTTCTTTGCGAACGCATATCAATCTTTAGATGTTGAAACGCCCAAATGATGTTGTTTCCTTCTTCGATACCGCCCACTTTTGGCTTCTTTATGATTTCAATCCATTCGCAAAACTACAATTATTTGATTCACTTGAATCGCACCAGATGTGGCCCCTTCCTTGACTCTTTTCTTCATATATCATCAGATATATATGAATGTTTGTTTGTATATATATTGGCTGTCTCTCCTTTGCTTGATTAATACAATCATACCCCTTGGGGTAATGCCCTTGTCCCTCCCTGCTAACTACTACGTCCCTGCCCACAGTTGAGGTTCTATTTCATTACTACTATTATTATTTTATACATTTTTGTTGTTGCCAGTAGCCTGTTGCTAGCCGATTTTCTTTCTCTCTCTGTTTCTCTCATACTTGGTGAGTTCTCTGTGTAATTTACGCGGTCCGATACCTTTTGCCCTTGGTTTCGGAGGGGTATATGGGGTTTTTGAGGTTCTACGACTACTCAAATTAAGATTAGCAAATTTTTATTAAATAGGAAATAAATATATAAGCTATTTTGTAAACATAACCAATGCTTATAACAGTAAAAAAGAATATTTTAAATATTAAGTAAGACAAAAAATATATCCTTGGAAAAGTATGTGACAAAAGATATATAGAAATCATTAAACAATTTTTTTTTAAATTATCTTTTATAACAAATAAGTAAAAATTATACCCCAAAGGGTATCTAAAGTTCTCCTCGACAACACCGTCACTCCTTTGTCATCTGTTTTACTTTATAATTCGCTTATTCCCTTGGCCTGTCTCGGGTTGGTTGGTTGGCAAGTATTTCATTTCATTGGCCACTGGGCGATGGGAACAGAGCCGTCAACCGAAAGCTAAATCGGACCCAAACCCTGGCTGAAACTGAAACTGAGAGAGCAACGTTCTAACCTTGTGGTACTCGGTGTTGTTGGCGTTGTTGGTAGTAAATTTAATGTATATTTCTGTTGTTGTTGTTGTTGGTACCTTTAACCTTTGGCTGGCAGCAACAACAACCTTCTCTGACGTCGTTGAGTCGTATCCTTGAAAGTGTCTATCTGAGGTCATCAACTACAATTTTCGTCGAGCTGGTAACTTGGAGTCGTTGTTGCTGTTGGTTGGGGCTCGTTTATCATTGGACTTTTCATGGTCGACGCTCCGAACACAAAGGGAGAAATATATATATGTAAAATAAGGAATAAACAAAATAACCAACAAAAAAAATATAACAAGGGGACATTCTCAGGATCTGTAGGGAGAAAAAAAAGCCACAGTTGGACAGCGCCACGTGCATTTAACGATAATTATATGCGAGCATTAACCAAACCAATATTAACCTCCACATCGTCAAACCCATTATCCATTATCAGTAATTGCCTTTGTTCAAATATCGATTTTTGATAGCAAAGCGGTTTTGCTTGTACTCATAATATAAATATGCATTATTAACGGTTGGAGATGACTAACTTAAACCACACAGAGACCACAGAATGTCAATGAAATATTTTCAGATGATTTTTATGGATAGTTAGAGCACAAAGACTAGG